GAAACTCAGAGCCATTTGAAATAAACCTGGCTGGCTAACAGAGAACAAAATGTCGGTATGGATAGAAAGATGCAGAGAAGAGAAATGGTACTGTTTGAGAGAAAAACGAAGAAAGGTGGCTTGTCTGAAGTTTTTGTTGTTGTTGTTGTTTGGTTTTTTTTCTTCAGCATTTATGAAGCTTAGTGGTACTATCTACAGTGGGATTGGGTGAGATTCCCACGTAGCCTTCCAATAAACTCCCTTTCACCTGGTCTATTGGAAAGTTTTTCTCAGCACCTTAGGCATGTAACATTGGAGTGAGAAGCTACATAGCTATTTCAGGGTAACTCAATTCCTTGGTTTAATAATCAGTCTTGGGAGTTATTCCTATACTACCTGCACTTCGTTTACCTGTGCCCATAGGTATACCTCTCAATGACAGTTTTGGTACTGAGAATGGGTAGTTTCTCTCCATCAACTAGCAGACCTAGAGTTCAGATATGTTATTCAAGACCCTTTACCACCAAGTATTCAAAGCGTAACATCTTCATTAACCTCAGAGTCTCAGAAAGAGAATCTGATTGGCCCAACTGTACTTTTGGTTGTTTTTCTGTGAGATATCTGTCCAGTCAGCTAAGGCAAGACCCTAGAGCTGAGGATCTCAAGACTGTGCTACAAACCTGGCAACCAGGGGTGTGTCAGGGGAGAGATTTTCTTAGACGGAGGGCAGGGTGTGGTAGGTAATGATCAGCCAACAGGTCCAGTCATCACCCACAACTACCAATAATGCTACGCTTTCCAGGCCAATGGCCATAAAGAATCTGTGTCTCCAATTTATATGAATGCTTACATTGTCCATTGTTAGTGAGAATGTACTTCTAAATTAACCCACTTTCCAAAGACAAATCAGATTGTAGATGCTGAAGATAAACATTTTTTAAATCTTGATCTAACAGAATTAGTCTAGCTAAGCAAGAAGTTTTGAAGTACTGATGAGCAAGAATGTGAATAGAAAAGAATTTTAAGGCGGGGTGCCTGAGTGGCGTAGTCAGTTAGATGTCTGACTTCAGCTCAGGTCATGATCTCACAGTTTGTGGGTTCGAGCCTTGCATTGGTCTCTGTGCTGACAGCTGGGAGCCTGGAGCCTGCTTCAGATTCTGTCCTGCTCTCTCTCTGCCTCTCCTCTGCTCCTGCTCTCTCTCTCTCTCTCTCAATCTCTCTCTCTCTTGCTCTCTCTCAAAAGTGAATAAACATTAAAAAAAGAAAGAAAAGAGTTATAAGGGGCTAGGAAATGGTGACAGTCTTCCTTTGCATTTGCATATGTTGTTTCTTCTCCCTAGATTGTCTTTCCTTCCACCATCTTCTTGGCAAAGTCTTACTCTTTCTTCAAGACCTGGATTAACCATTATTTCATCTGGAAAGACTTTATTGACATGGCCCACTTTCTTCTCTTTCAGGCAAAGGTCATCAGTCTTTCCTTTGATCAACTGCAACATGCACATCATGCCAACCTTTATTTCAGCAGTTCTCACACTAACTTACATGTATTGCTTATGACACTGCATCTACAATGCTACTTTAAGTCCCTTGAAGGCAGAAACAGTCTTATTTGATTGTATATTCCTGGGCACCTAGCTGGGTGCCTGAAACAGAGTTGGTATTCAAGAATTGTTGGCAGAATAAAGAAGAGTAAAATTATATTAGTATTAATTTATATTAGTATATATTATAAATTAGTTGATACTAATTATAAATTAGTATATATTATAAATTAGTTGATACTAATTATAAATTAGTATAAATTAAATTAGTATAATTTATATTTGTATAGAATTATATTAGTACAAAAGTATATTATTGATGTGGCACAAGTATAGTCTGAGGAATGTTCCAGATAATTGAAGTTTACACTTTCAGCAATCACAACTTTTAAAATATTTTATAAAGACAGAAATCTTTCAGATTTTTCTGCCTCATTAAAAAAAATGAAACCATATCATGAATATTTTGTAATTTACTCAAATTCCTCATTTTGAATCAATTATAGTTTTTTCTAAGGTATTCTCAAGAAAGCTTTGTTCAGGCACCACCTCCACCAAGAAGCTTTCTCTAACCCTATCCCATCTAGACTTCACTGGATATCATCTTATATTATTCATGGAGCTGTCTTGTCGCTTACAATATTTTATGGAAATTACCTGTTTATCCACATGATTCCATTACTTCATATGGTCACACATGTCTTTTCTCTATTAGACAGTGGGCAACTCTAATGGAGAATAGCAGACTCCATCTTACTCATCTTTTCATTGCCAGGGCTGAGCAGAGCACACTAGATGCCCAACAAATGGTGAATTGAAATGAATATAGTAGTCTGATAAGAAGGCTTTGAAATGTGTAAAACTCTTGATCTCTACACTAAATAATTCCTAGTTTTTTCTTTTTTATAGTATTAAATTTTTTTATATTGCTTGTTTTTTTTCCCAATTGTATCATGCTACTGTGTCAGATTAACTATCTCTAGAGAGCCTTTTACACCTCATTTACGAATCCAATGATTTCGATACTTTTTTGATCCCATATCATGTGTAGAAAATATTTCAACCCATACTTCTTCTAAATGACAGATGTAGCTTTGTATATACATTTATACACACATATTTACAATTGCATGCATCGGTTTTTATACTGATATTTTATGTATACTCATAACCATAAGCAAAAATAATTAAGAGGAAATTTTAGATAAGAGGATAATTTTAGATAATTGTTATTTAGCTAACAATAAAACAGATATTTTAAAACTCAGATGACACTTTATTGTGTTTATCGATAACATAAAAATTCTTTGCTCTTACTTTGTGAGAGTAAGAGCTCTTACTCTTATTTTAATCTTGGTATAATATTTAGTGATAGCAAATTTTGAGGGCTTGGATTCTAGATTCAATTGATGCAATGCTTAATTTGAATGATTATCATCGATTAAAAAATACTGCAGGTGGACAAATTATATCATTATCTTCAGTTATTAAAATGTAATACTCATATCGTATGCCCAGGACCAGTTATACAAAACTTTTTGTTGAAATTCAAACAGGAAATTCAGTTTTCCTTGATGTCACCTTGATGTAGGCATTGTGATTTTTAAAAAAGTAACAAAAGGATTCAAAACTCTCCATTTGGAAGATGTATAGGTAGTGCAGAAAATTCCACTTCAAAAGTTGTATTTGTCACAACATTGATGGACCTAGAGGGTATTATGCTAAGCAAGATAAGTCAGACATATAAAGAGAAATACCATATGATTTCCCTTACCTGTGGAATATAAAAAATAAAACAAACAAACAAAACAAAACAAATCCAAACTCGTAGTTACATAAAACAGATTACCAGAGGGGCTAGGAGCTCAAGAGTAGAGTTGGCGAAAGGGATTAAGAAGCACAAACTTCCAGTTATAAAATGAATAAGTCACAGGGACATAATGTATAGCATGTGGGCTGTAGTTAATAATATTGTATCACCTCTGTATGATGACAGATGGTAACTAGACTTATTGTGGTGATCATTTTGTAATGTATACAAATGTCTATTCACTGTTATACACCTGAAATTAATATAATATTGTATGTCAATTATACTTCATAATAAAAAATGTTGTAGTTTGCAACTATAAGCATCCTTATAGGTGACATACTTCCATGATTTTTCAGCAACAATATCACATATTAATAAATATTTTTTCAACCGCTTGTTTTCAAATACCTTTTCCATAATACTTTTTCCCCCAAATTGTTTACTTTCTCATTTACTATGAAAAAAAAGTTTGCTTTGCTTTACTGATACCTAAACGATAACCACACTTGTTTTTAAATATTTAAAATACTTAAATAAGTAGCACTTTATTGATAACTCTTTTCTCATCAGTGACAAGGTCATAAAATTTTAAACACTTACCTTTTTGTAAATAATATATCTAATTTGTCTCTAAATTCAATAGCAATTTTAAGTATTTTTCAATGAAATAACCAGTAAATTCTCTATGGTGGCAAATATTATCATGGTTATCCACCATTTCATTGCAATGTCATTTAAATACTTGACAATAATTTAAAGGGTCATGTTTTTATGAAATTAAAAACATCAGTGTTGATGCACTTCTGGATTCCGTTTCTCTGATGAAAAGCTTTCCTATCAATGCTGCAGTTAAGAGATTTCCCATACAAAAACATTACCTAGAATATTTTTGAATTTTCAGCTGCAGGCAAACCATCAAAGCATCAATCCCATCATAACATATATTTCCCATAAACATTTTTAAAAGAAAGTCTGTAAGGATTCTTCCTCTGCTAAGAATTTATCTTTTTCAATAAATACTTCTTTTTAAAGTTTTTATTTAAATTCCAGTTAGTTAACATACAGTGTGATATTAGTTTCAGGTGTATAGTAAAATCTTCCTTTAAAGGCACAAAATTGTGATCATGAATTTCTTCCTTGAAATACAATCTAGTTGGGGCGCCTGGGTGGCACAGTCAGTTGACCATCCAACTTCAGCTCAGGTCACGATCTCGTGGTCCATGAGTCTGAGCCCCACATCGGGCTCTGTGCTGACAGCTCAGAGCCTGGAATCTGCTTCAGATTCTGTGTCTCCCTCTCTCTCTGCCCCTCCCCCACTCACACTCTGTCTCTATCTCTCAAAAATAAATAAATGTTAAAAAAATTTGAAATACAGCCTAACAAGTAGATTGAGACACAACAGAAATGCTGATATATCCACCCAATTCTATCACTATATAAATTCTAATGCTACATTAATTTGTCTTACCTGTTTCTCAAAGCCTTTTGCAAAGTTTTCTATGTATCTTCCAACACTAGTGATAAAGGAATGAATATTTGTTTGTGGCTTATTACTTCATGAATTATTTCAGTATTATTCACTCTGGAAGGAAAAACAGTTTTCCAATTGGTCTTTCTCTCTTTCTCTCTCTTTGTCTCTTTAGAAATGGTTTATTTTTTTGTCAACCTTATTTCCATTTTGTTTGCCTTCGTGGAAGAGAAGTGTAAGACCAGTCAGTGGTTGCTCTAGTCTTCAGCAGGGAACTGCTAATAGGCACAGAAGGCACTTGCAAACCTTCAGACCGGTCTGTGACTTCAGGTTGAGTAGCGATGAACTCAGGAGCTGGAACAATCCATTCACCCTGAAATTCTTCCTTGGTCCCAGTCTTCTCAAAAGCCGCCTGCTCTTTCCTTTCAATATCTTCAGAATCTCTATAGAAGTAGAGATCAGTTACTGAGTGTTGTATGTAAGCAGTGAACCATGGGAATATACCCCAAAAACCAAGAACAAACTTTACATGCTGTATGTTAGCCAATTTGACAATAAATTATATTAAATTTTTTTAATGGTTATTTATCTTTGAGAGAGGCAGAGCATGAGTGGGGCAGGGGCAGAAAGAGAGGGAGAAACAGAATCCAAAGCACACTCCAGGCTCTGAGCTGTCATACAGAACCTGATGTGGGGCTCGAACTCATGAACTGCGAGATCGTGACCTGAGCTGAAGACAGACACTTAACTCACTGAGCCACCCAGGCTCCCCTGAGAATAAATTATATTTTAAAAAATTAGAATTAACCAAGTATTGAAGTCTAGGTTATTTTCATACACAAATACTTGCAAATAATAAGGGAAATGCGCAACATTTATTAAACATTGTGGATATGTGTGTGTGTGTATATATATATATGCGCCAATAATAAATGTATCTGGGTAGTGGGAGGGTGTGTAATTTATAATTATTATAAAACCTTCATTTTCCATATTTCTAGGATGAGTATGTGTTACTTGGGTAATTAAAACATTACAAAGACACACACAAAAAAAAGAAGTAGAGATCAGGCATGACCTCTCATGAGTGTTCACAGGAAATGGTGCCACACTTGCGCAGAACTTCCTGGACCTGCATCCACCACATCAGACCCACTGAGTGAGGTCCCTTGTTGCAAGGGATGGCGATGTCCACATAATGCAGAGGACAGTCTGTGTTACACAGAACAATGGTAGGCAGGTTAACATAAGATGCCTCCATAAGAGACTGGTGGTCAGCCCTGGGATTAGTAACCACCAGAAGTCTCAGCTCCCGGAAGGCTGCCTGGATTTGGTTAGTGAAGTTTCCAGGGGTGAAATTGCCAGCAGTCCAAGTGGCTCTGGTAGCAGTAGCAAACTTCAGCACAGCTTGCTGGCCAGTCTCCCTGGGTGATATGATGCTGACATGAGCCAGGTTTTCCATGGCAACAATGGCATGAGCTGCCAGCAGAAGTTTCTCCCAGGTTCTCTTCAGATTTATGATACAGAAACCATCACTTTTCCTTTTGTAGATGTATTGTTCCACTTGGAAGTCAAGGTTGGTGCCAGCTAAGTAGCTTCCTGCTACAAGGAATTTGAGGATATCCTCCTCCTTCATTTGCAGGACATCAAGGTCTCTAAATATTGGGAAATTTCCCTTTAAGTTACAATGGTAACACAGAACAACAGTGAATGGACGCCTCCCTGGAAAGCCCAAGTTGTCTTTTTTTATAAGTAAACTTCTAAATATTTGTTATTAAGCTAGTGAAATTTCAGTTAATGCCAGATTGAGTAACTCTTGACTGAAAACTTCTGAAGAAATTGCAAGAGGCTGTCCTTATGTTTTGGATCCTTAATTGTTTTTGTTTTTGTTTTTGTTTTTTGGTAATGTTTTCATTTATTTATCTTGAAAGACAGAGAGAGTGTTCAGGAGCAGGGGAAAGGCAGAGAGAATCTCAAGTAGGCCTCCACACTGTCAGCTCAGACCCAGACACAGGGCTCAATCTCAGGAACTGCAGGATCATAACTTGAGCTGAAATCAAGAGTCCAGCTGACTGAGCCATCCAGATGCCCCAGGATGCGTAATTTTTTAAAGTCTTGTTAATCGTGAGCATCTCTCAAGGCATAATATATGCAGATGAGGTTATTCATTAACAATAATAACACACACAAAAACCCACACTTCAAATAGCTTCATCATAAATTTGAATCTGAGGACAGGTGACTTTTTGTTATATCTGATTAGGTCTTGTTTAATAATGTAGTTACCAAAAAGCAGGTTAACAAAAAGAAGTGTCACAGCTAAGATTTTCCTTTTAGTTCAATTGTGCTTGTATTATTAATTTTATCTGCTATTTCTTTGGAGGATTTTTTAAGTCACTTGTCCATTTCCTAAAGGTTCGTTTAGTAAACACTTAAAGCAGCCCAGATAACCCTCAATGCCTCATGATAAAGAAATGGGAAGAGGTACCCCTTTGTTGTGGGGAATCCAATTCCTACTCCTTTGCTTCCATGTGATACCATGTTAAATCCTAACACGAGACACCCACAGGCTACTGACTGTGATGGCCTATTGTCAATCTTTTTCATTAAATGTTAATAAGGACTGGTTTCTTTTTAAATTATTCTAAAAAAATTTTTTTTAATGTTTTTTTATTCATTTCTGAGAGAGAGAGAGACAGCATGAGCTGGGGAGGGTCAGAGAGAGAGGGAGACACAGAATCCGAAGCAGGCTCCAGGCTCTGAGCTAGCTGTCAGCACAGAGCCCGACGCGGGGCTCGAACCCACGAACCGTGAGATCATGACCTGAGGTGAAGTCTCAGCTTAACCAACTAAACCACCCAGGTGCCCCTAAATTATTTTTAAATAAGTAAAAGTTTTAATATTTTCTTCCCAAACTACAGTGGATTTCCTGGTGCTCCCCTGAAGTATACATACCTCACTTTGGAGTAACTGTTCCAATATTTGCTCGAATGAGAAAAGATGTCAACCCTTTGAAAGATTTCCATGCACTGAAGTCCTGAGACTCTTACTCTCTTGAGCAACAGAATGAATCATTTATCGTTTGGTGTTATTTTCATTTTAAATATATTTGTCTTGTCTCCTCAGCTAAATTATAAGGAACAGGAAGTCATGGCTATACTCTTCTTTCATTCTTCATGTCACTTAACATAGTACTTCGTCCAGAAGATATATGATTCATATGATTTCTTGTGCAAAGTTTTAGCTGCTGCATTGTACATCTGAATTGCAGTTTCCATAAGGACAGGAAACTTTGTATTCTTCTTTGGATTCCCCACATCTACCATATAACTTACATAAACTTTTAATGAATATTTGTTGACTAAAACCAGATAACCAAATAGATTTGGCTAATGACCCCACTTTACCCAGAAACTATGCCAGTAAACTATGGATCAGGGCTCTAATAAAATGAATTTATTCTTTCATTTATTCAATTAAGTAATATTTATAGTGCATTTTCTATGTGCCACACATTAATTATAACTGTGGTATAGTAAAACAGAAAGTAGAGAACACAAACTGAAAGCATGATAAAGTAAACATGTTATATATAATGATCATATAATAATCCATATTGAGTAGAGGATAAAAGAAGCTGTTACACGCTCTCATAAAACTATTCAATTCCATATGTAACACCCAATGTACTTGTAAATTATTTATCCAATATTGGTCTGTTTCCCTCACTGGAAACTAAGTTCCACTGAGGCCCAGACCAGGTCTGACTTGTTACTACTCTACCCCTGGGCTGTAGCACAATGCTGGCACATAATCAAGTATTCAATAATCATATGTTGGACAAATACATAGATGAATGCATAGGGAGAAAAACAACACTGAAATTGCATATATTTTAAAATCCAAAAATAAGGAGAATTATAAGACAGAAGATTAAACTTTGATTGAAGACAGTTTGAGAAAGACAAATTATTCAAGTAAATTGGTCTATGAGTAAACTTAAAAGACTAATTTAAAAGTAAGTTTCTATTGGATTTTGGCAGAGGCTGACGGGTTCAAGAATTCAATAATTTAATCAACAAATATGTTTTGAATTCACATGAATGCTGGGCACTATACTGGGTGCTGAGATGCAGAAAAGTAAAATAAAGTTGGTCTCTGTACACGTGGAGTTTACAGATATGCAAAAGGTACTAAAAAGCACAAAGACAATATTTCCAATATGTAAAATAAAACAAAAATCTCTAATACCAAAAAGAATTGCATATTTGATAACATAAGCAAATACACAACAAGTCTTTGATTATATTTTGGCATACATATATATTTTAGTTATATATGTAACTTCTGGTCCCACATTATATCCTTTGGTTTCCTGTATAATTGATGCTATTCCATACTCTAGATCATTGTCCATGCTTTGCTCCTTGCTGGAATTCTTTCCCACTTAAGGCCTTCTTTTGCCTCTCTAAATCTACTTATCCTTTAAATTTCTTGGACAAATACAGCCCCTACCCACCATCTGACACCTCTCAACCACCTTTGTATGTATGGCCTGTCATTGTACTTACCATAGTTCTTATTTCTCTGTCATGACTTCTCTGTCTCTTTTCTGAACTCTAAATGCCTCTAGGACAGAGGCTAATTTTCACTGATTTTGTATTTACAATGCCTAATACATAACAGATGATCAATAAATGTTTGTTAACTGGAGCTGCAGCTCCCATTTTCTATATAGAAATCTGTATCTACCTTAATATAAGAGTAAGAATTTCACCTGACAGCCTATCTTTCCAAGATTTCTTTCAAAGGCATTCTACAATCTACTAGTCATCAGGAAAAATCATAGCTACAACCATTCACAAACCTGATTACATTCTCATTTCTTCTCACCAACAACTTAAATCCAGTTGAGAATTTGAGGCAGAGAATATAATGGATCTTTACCAGCCTGATCACATAAAATCCATTTATCTTCTTAACACTTAAAGTACCAAAAGACTACATGATAAGAAAGTCACATTTCTTCTTTGGCAAGTCTAGTGTCTAAAATGCTGCTAAAATGCTACATGGGAATATTTTCTGTACCATTATCACTCCTAGGGTAAGAAATTAGTTTTTCCAGAGACAGAAGAATACAAAAAGAGCTGTGAATATATGAAAATATCTACTATCTGTGAATATTATCTCTGACTTGGTACTTCAGATACATAGTGAAGTTTTCTCTTCGATTACTTATTTTGTTGGTATCTCTGTATTATCTGTTGCCACCATAATGTTTCATAACAAACCACTGAAACATAGTGTCTTAAAATGATAAACATTTATTTAGTACACTGCATGTTGTTGATATTGATTAGGTTTAGCTGGAAGCATCTTCTGATCTCACCTAGATTTCCTCACAAGCCTGAGGGCTGGGTGACAATTGGCTGAACGAGGATGGCCCTAGCTCAGATGTCTGGAACAACTAAGCTTTGTTTTACATGCCTGTCACATCCTCCCTGTAGACCAGCCAGACATGTTCTCATAGCAATGCAGAGGGGAACAGTGAGCAGGCCCAGTCATGCAAGAAGGCAACAAAAAAGTACGTGTACCATTCAACATTCTGCTTGTGTCATGTTGGCTAACAACCTATTGACCAAAGCAAGTCACATGCCCAAGCACAGTCAGAATAAGAGGAACTTTAAAGTTATAGAACAGAGGTGCTTGGGTGGCTCAGTTGATTAAGCATCTGACTCTTGGTTTTGGTTCAGGTCATGATCTCACAGTTTGTGAGTTCGAGCCCTGCATTGGGTTTTGCACTGATGGCATGGAACCTGCTTGAGATTCTTTCTCTCCTTCTCTCTCTGCCCCTCCTCCCCCACTTGTTCTCTCTCTCTCTCTCAAAATAAACAAACTTAAAAAAAGTTATGAGACAAACATTGTGGATTCAAAGAAGTCATTAAGTGGGGTAATTAATACAACCAATCTATGCACACCTGGATTCCTGAACTTACCAGGACACAAAATTTTAAAAACCTACATAAGAGAAATTGCATACCATTTCCAAATAATGAATTCAGGATCCTTCAGAAAGTACAGTTCTCTAAGAAATATACTACAAGATTTTAAAGTTTTGAATTTTATTTGTAATTTGACAGTTTCACAAAGGTATAGATTTTTAAAACTATATTCTCCATCTGACATAGTTCCATCAAATATAAGGTAAAGGAATACTATGCAATAATAGTAATTATAAACTTCAAGTAATTTTGTAAAGCTGGCAAAGTACAACTGTTAGGATAGATAATATAGAGGGTCCACTAAAGAAGGAAGTAGGATGGGGGCATCTGGTTTCAGTTGGTTAAGCACTGACTTCAGTTCAGGTAACGATCTTGTGGCTTGTTCGTGAGTTTGAGCCTCGCATCAGGCTCTCTGCTGTCAGTAGAGCCCACTCCAAATCCTCTATCCCCCTTTCTCTGCCCCTCTCTCCCAAATGAATAAACATTTTTTCAAAAAAAGAAGGAAATAGGATGTAACAAAAAAGAAAATGTAACCTACAAAGATCCATGCGAGCGCGCACACACACACGCAATAGTATAGCCAAATCTTCCAAATGAATACTGAAAAAAATTTGTTGAAACTAGAAAATTTGATCTAGCAATATTTTAAGAAAATAATAGCATTAGTCAGTTTTTTCTGGCAGCAAAAAAGCCATATGTAAGTTAGCTTCAGTTGATATATGGAGACATATGCAAAAATGATCTCTTAACAGTCATATGGTCAGGCTTCTGGAAAAGCTGGAATGTCATTCAAGATGCATAGGTGCTCAATATCTCTGCAACTACAGTGATTCAGTGGAGGTCTCGTTCACCCTGTTGTCCCTCAGCAGCAAGTACCTGCTGCTTTTTACTCTAGGTTCTCTCCCATATGGCTAAACTTATCTCTGCTTCTATAATGACTGTCTTTATCTCACTGCTACCTCTATCTATCTGTTTTTACTTTTACCACATTACTTCTGATTACTGCTTTTTTCTATAAAGCCTCTTTGCTTCCATGTCATTCTGTTACCTGTATCTCTCTTGGAGTGTCTAATACCGCCATCACCTTTCAGGAGACTGTTGGCAAAGCCTTTACTCCAGGTCATGTCTGAAGCTACAGGCTGATTTTTAAATGAACATCTTTGGCTCCAGAACCTATCATTGTTCTGCTCAGCTATTGTTAAGGGTTGGTGTTATTGGGCAAAAATGAATCCCTCTGTTGAGGCTATTAGTATTCCATGCACTCTGAGGCCTCTCAGAAGAGGGTAGCCTAAAATGTCAAGTGCTTTCAATAGACTGTTTAACATAAAAACACTACAAACAATAGAAAATGAACCCAGGAATGCGAGGATATATCACTATAAGGAAATCTACGATACAATTCTTGTGTGTGTTTTATTCAACACCAAGCAATTCTCCAATTCTCAGGGGACACTGATAGGCTATCTGGCAATTTAACTCAATTTGGAAATTGTCTTCCTAGAGATAGCATCAGATCGCACAGTTAAGAGGTGAATCCTATAAGACAGCCCCTGCTCCTGCAGAGATGCCAATTGCAAGTCCAGATTGTCACCTGTGCTTCTAACCTACTGGCTTTAGATTGGATGTTCCCATGATCCCCTTTTTGGGCTTGATCAATATGCTAGAGTGGCTCACAGAACTTAGAGAAACATTTTACTTACTATTTTACCAGTTTATTATAAAAGAATATAACTCAAGGATAGCCTGATTGAAGAGATGCATAGGGCAAGATGTGTAGGAGGAGGCATAGGGCTTCCATGCCCTCTTCAGGCATGCCACTCTCCCCAGATCTCCATGTCTTCACCAACCAGAAGCCCTCCAATCTCTGTCCTTTGGGTCTAATGGAGGCTTCATATATAGACACAATTGATTAAATCATTGGTCATTGTCAATTGATTCAACCTCCAGCCCCTCTGCCTTCCTCGGATGTCAAGGGAATGTTACTGGTTTTGGTTTTTTATTCTTTCAAATTAATCTGTAGGTTTAGTGCAATCGCAATTGCACTCTTGATGAGTTTTTTTTTAATTAGACAAAATTACCAATATAACTGATAATAACAATCATGTGAGAAAAAAACTAGAAATTTTGAAAAGGAAGAATAATGAACATTTTCCTTAAAGGTAGCCTGCACATACACCCTTATGATTATACCCTGTGATCTGGGGTCAGCCTTCTGTTATGATTGCTCAATTCATTTGATTCATGCTTGTGCGTTACCAATTGTTAAACATTTGGTACATTAGCCCTGTTCATAGGTGTTAAACCATATACTGTAGCTATAGTAATTAAAAGTGTGATACCAATGATTGGAAAAGTAGAAAGTCAGATGAAAGGAAGAGAGTAGATGGCCCAGAAATAGATTATTGTTTAGTGGAATGAAAAAAAAAACCCTAATTTTAACATTTTCTCTTGGGAAAGAAATCCTTTTGTTGAAAAAGATATCTTAATATATTGCAGAAGGGTAAAATGTGAGACCCTAGGGGCATAGGTTGGAGGATGATAATGTAACAAAGAGAGAGACAAACTACTCTGCCCAAAAAATAAAAAATGACAAATTTGATGAAAAGAGAGTGAATAAAGGAAAAATCACCATGCTTGTAGAGAAAGGTGGTCAGTGAGAAACTCTTGGCTATAGATTGGCTGAAGACTTTTTGAAAGTAGAGAATTTATGAGATAAATTTTAAATTGTTTGCATTGCTACATGAAAATCTCCTTTGTCTTCCTTTAACTGTCAGTGAAGAATGCTACACACAGAGAATAACTTTCATGAGTGACGTTTTCTTTTTTTGAGGGGTGGGATGTTGTATACATGTGTTTGTATGTGTCTTGAAATTCATATCTAATGTGAAGCAGAGAAGAGACCAGATATGTAGGATGAGATGTGTGTAAAAACATAAGTTAATTGATAACTGATTCATAAAGCAAGAAGAGATCGTGTGAATATATTCTCTTGGGTATTCAGAGCATTTGTAAAAGTGAAACTGGTCTTTTCATAGAATTTTGACTAAGGGGTTGGAAATAATTTTATTTAAATATAAAAGGATAGGCCAATTTCAACTGACATTTGGGTTAATAGTACATATAGTAATTCAGCCTGTGATAATAATAATTTTTAAGGGTGGTATTATGAATCAGTGGGAAAAGACAACATAAATGAAAGAAAGAACCCATCTTTCTGTATAGGCTTAGCAAGGAAGGGATAAAGTTTTACCTTAGAGTTTAATCAGATGGTAACTTTGTATAGTCAAAGGATCATCCATTAAGAGTAACACTGCTTAGAACCTACTCTATGCTTGGCTCTGTCTTAGGCAATGGGGATACAATAGTGAACATAGTAGACAAAACATCTGTTCTTAAAAAGTTTTCATTCTAGAGGATGGAGACAGTCATTTTTAAAGTGAAGTATACACATATTAGTGATGGGATATTTTTGGTATGCTGAAAAATATACTTTGAAAGCAGGGAAAATGAATGAACAAAATGTACATGGTCAGCAAAATGATATGGAGAAACTACCTCAAGGTAGCAAGGAAGATGGCCTTGAAATTATGGAGTAATTAATTTATTTTTTAGAAGAAGGATCAACAAACTTACTCTGTAAAGGTCTAGATAATAACATTTTAGGGTTTTTATATGATAGTCTATGTTGCAACCACTCAACTGTGCCATTGTAGCTCAAAGATAGGCATAGACACTACAAAAGTAAATGAGCATATGCCTGTCTTGATACAGAACTTTACAAAAATGCATGTCAGTTTGCAGACCATAGTTTACCAATTCCACTTCTAGAGTTAGGCTGCCTGTAGTCAAGTTTGACTTCATCTGTTACTGGATGTAAGACTTTGTACAAATTACTCAAATTCTCTAAGCTTCATACTTCATAAGAGGAAAATGAGATAATTCATATAAGTGGTTTGTTTTTTTCTTTGCAGTTGCAGTTGCTGTCTCATAATACATTCTCAAAGAGTGTTATCCACTATTACTAAATTAATGTTTTAGTTATGTATTTACATCCCCTGATAATAAATTTTGTCTTTGATAAGTGCATGCATTTATACATGTATATGTATGTGTATTCATGCATATATGGAAATGAATGTTTGTGTAAGACTAATCAAATATCCATGTCCTGGATTATAAAAAGATTTAAGAGTGTGTAAATCACACTGGCAAAATGGCCATCCAAAGTGAAGGTATTGGAGTTTTCATGGCCACAGTTGACTGAGTACCAAGTTCATATCACCTTCTGAGATAACTCTACTGGATTTGGAACACCAAAAACTAACATGGATGGAACTTCAGGAGCTCTAGAATATTACTGTGGACTGAAAAATTTATGCTTGGGAATTTTACTGTTTCAGGAGTAGTAGTAGCAAAAGACTTACTGGATACTAAAGTGAAATTAACCCTCTGAGTTGAAGAGATAGAAAAAATAGTTTGGAAAGATTACTGGACTTTATGGAGCAGAAAGGTAGAGAGAAGAAAGCGATATTTCTTTCATGAAGAAAGAGATACTGAATTTTGTATAGCAGTCCCCTTGAGTCTGCTCTTGAATACAACTGACACATGCATAAGGTGAAACTCTTCAAGGCTAGACAAAAGATGGACCAGGGAGCTATAAAGTGAATAATGCACAAAGCTCACAAACAGCTTGGAGATGTTTGAGTTTTGCTTTGAACCTTACTGAATACCCAGAGTACAATCTACTCCAAATCATCCCATCAAAAAAGGCTTAAAAACAAGATTCAAGAGAATCTAGCTGCTTACCAAGTAACTTAGCTAATATAAGAAAGTTTCAACCTTTAGCTTTCTTAGAAAACAAACCAGCACTCAGCAAGCATAGACTGACAATACCCAGCATGCAATAAAAAAATTACTGGACGTGCGAAGGAACGTAAATATGTTTCTCACACCAGAAGAATAATCTGTCAATAGAAAAAATATGAAATGATATAAATCATGGAATTAGCAGACTAG